CCCCAAAACCCCAAAACCCCAAAACCCCAAAACCCCATAACAAGTAGTTAAAATAGATAATTATAAATGGGATCTGCATGCTGAGCCACTGGTCAAAGACAACCACAGGTAAAATTAACTCCAAGCTGAGCATTCATTCAACAATTTAAGCAATAAAATTTGAAGAGTAAATCGAAATTACTCAATGACATTATCAACAAAATTTAAGAGATCATCCAACTTTTCTGAAGACAATGAATAGTAGAATAAATTTTAAATACAGAATTAGTCAAGCTTGTTCATCAAAACAAGATTAAAAGCTTACATCTCACAAAACCTAATTTATATATCTCTATTATAAACTTTCATGATTTCCTACCCCTTCTGATTCTTCTTAGCCTCTTGCTAAACCTTCAATAATTTCATTCACAAACCCTCAATATCCTTTTGCATGTAGCGTCCACGTCTATCCTTCTTCACAAGTATGTCTATTGAAGAACCCACTAGAATAAGAGGTAGGACCCAAAACTCACTTGTAGACAGACACAGTTATCAGAGTAGAACAGGGTGAAACACTAATCGAGGAATACCAGCAGGGACACCAGGAACAAGAAGGAAGCTGAACAGTATTAAGAAGGAGCTGGAGTAAGAGGAAGGGGTTCAGGGTATGACTGAGGATGCTAGTTTTAGGATTTGGGGTGGATTATAAGAGGGTTTTTGGGATAATTTTAGGCTTGGAGAAAGGAGCTTGTTTTGAATGCTCTGTTTGGGGGTGGTGTATAGGTATCAACTGTTTGTGATAGGTAAAATTTGGACAAAAATGTTTTTGGATATCATGTTCTAATTTGTAATTATAGCGAGTCTGTAGTAAAGAAAGAAGTAGTTGATGTAAGTATATAATTTTTAACAGTGTAGAGGAAGATTCCTTCAAGGTAAACATATCAAAATGTTAAAAATCTTAAAATACGATTTTTAGAAAATTTATGAATTACAACCGTATAATTGATTTCTCAGTATATTATTTTGTAATCTGCAGGTATCATCAGAAGCAGGAGGAACCAAGAGATCATTTTCTGTTGGAGAGATACACCCACAAAAAGGTAAACCTTTTCTGCTCCGATATGATACATTCAAGTAGGATACGTAATCAACAAATCCAAACTGTTTACAAACAAATAATAATTGTACATCCCAGAGACTGAGCAATGATAACTCCTTCCCAAAATCTATTAGAACAATTGAAGAAGGAAAAAGTCTCCTTTACGACCATTCACTAAGGTACAGCACTATTCTAATGCAACACGAAGACGAAGATACCTCAGAAGCCATGTTAGAATACCTCCTCGACAAAGACCTAACCTCCCAACCTCCTATCAACCCCTCTATCCGCAAAACCTCCTTCCAAAGTACCCCTTCCATTCCCCCATTCCTAAATCTCAACTAAACCTACCCTCCATGGGGTTTTGGGGTTTTGGGGTTTTGGGGTTTTGGG